ACTGGGGGATTGTGACAAGGCTGTCCACTTTATAAGGGTGACAGCATGGAAGTGGGCTGCATTTGTGACTAGAACCCAAAGGGCCATGGGTTTACGCATAAAGTGAACTATGTGAGCTGGATGGTTCCAGCAGGCTGCCAGTACACAGATGGTGTTGGTATCAGAGCAGATGAGTTGTCCCTGAGGGTCAGAGGTAACATTGGCTAACAATAAGGCAAACGGGGGCCACAAGGAAATGGGGGTAGGGGGCCAGGACATTGTGTGATCAAAGGATGTAAGGATTTTGTTTTTGGCACAAGTAGAGGGATTGGTGTTAGTGTAAGTGCCACTGAAAAGCGGAAGACCCTGCTGTGCCAGTAACAGCCTCATGTCTATGCAGGTGTGTGGACCACAGAGGTCCCAGTTACTGAGTATTGATTCGCGGTTGGTATGGGAGATCTTAATGCTGCAGGGATAGTGGGGGCCAGTTGTCTCCAAGATCCTAGCGGTGACTAGAGGGGAAGTGACTGAAGCAGCAAAAGGGAGGGATGGCATGGTTGGGCTTCGGGTGGCATCTCTGCCACAGTATAGGGAGCATGAGGAAAAAGGGTACAAGGGAGCATGTGCATGGGCAGTTGGGGAGTGGTGGGTGTAGAATGGCAGGGTAAAATGGGGTTGGAGGGGTGGCAGTCCCCTCCACCTCCCCTGTTATTTTTGTCCCCAGTGCAGTGAGGACCAAGGTTACATTGGTGTTGTTGAAGGTAGGGGAAAGGCCCTGGAGTTTAAGCATGTAACCTGAGGAGGCACTGCCAGTATAATCTTGGATGGTCAGGTTAAACAGCCCAAGGCATGAGGATGTGTTGTTGGTAGTGAAGCATAGAGAGTTATTTAGGGGCCAGGAGCCATTGAGTGATTCCCAGGAAGTAACTGGCTCCATGGTGGGGAGGCCAAGCTTGGGATTAGTTGAATAGAGGGTGGGGAAGGCTGGGAAATGAAGCCATAAGGGCAAGAGTATAGGTGGGGAGGGGACCAAGGCCCAGAGATCATGGGCCATGGCAGGGGCAGGGAAGCGCAAACCAATTATCCAGATAGCAGCAAGGTACCTGGGTCCTGGGGGTCCTGTTGGTTGGTTGCTGGTCTCACATCTCTTGCTGGAACCCATACTGGCTTTGTTTCTGTCTGAGGAAACACACAAGCATAGCCTTGCCCTCTTGTTAACAAGGGGGCGGGCGGTTGCCATTGACATGTTATGGGGTCGTTCCATCATGGAAGGACAGGAAATTAATGCTGAATAGAGATTCAATTAGAGCCAGGTGTGGGTCCCTTTTAGACTCAGGGTAAGACATCTGAGGGCCTGAACTGCATACTGGCTGTCGGAGAATATATTGACCCGCTGAGTCTGGCAGACTTGGAAGATTTTTAACAAGGCCAGGAGCTCCCCCAACTGGACAGAGCCAGGATTGGCTTGTACATAACAGGTGTCATCCTTTCCAATGCGCTGAATGACAGTGCCATAACGGGTTGAGGCTGTGACCTACAACAGTCTTTACCCCAACAGAACCTCCTTTTGCACTTGGGGCAGCGAGTCTTGGGGCAGACTGTACCTCTTGGGCAGTGGCTATGAAAGTGCCCAAGCCCCACACAGTTCCAACAGTCTTCCCTCGTGCCAAAGTGGGCGGGTTTTCCTTCAGACAAAAGAGTCTCCAAGGAGGCGGTCAAAGCCTCAATAGGGCCCGCCCTAGGGTCCAAGTCTCTAGTAGAGTACCCATTTGTGAATGTTATCATTTCGGACAGGCGTGATAGCATTACAATTAGGGATGTTTAGTCCCTCCCAAGTTCATTGTTTGATAAGCACCTCTCAGGTGGGTCCAGACCCCACCCTCTGCTCTACTGCCTCGGTGACATGGGTAAGGAAGTCCATGAAGGACTTCCCTGATTGTTGAATCAAATTACAGAAAAAGACTTGTGGGTCACGGGGGGGGGGGGGGCAGCAACATTTAAGGGCCTTAAAGGCCAAGTCAGAAACTTGTTGAAAATAGTCATGGAGGCCAATAATAGACTGGGAGATGGGGTCAGTATATTGTCCACGTCCCATGAGCATGTCCAACGTAATGTTGAGGCCATACTGGAGATTTAGGCGTGCCTGGCTTTCAGCCTGATCGTCATAGGCTGTGCGCCAGTTTAGAAAGACTGAGGGTTCTAAGTCTGCCTTTGGTAAGTTATACCAATCATAATGGGTTTGTAACTGTAAGGACCACTGGCGAAGAACCTGCTCGAAATATCGGGAGTCGATTGCTCAGCTGCCTTGTGGATAAGAACGAGGTCAGCAAGTGGGGTGGGCAGCCATGGACGCTGCGCCGCATCAGGGCCAACACTAACCAGAAATGCAGACAAAGGCAGGTGAGGCTTTAAGGAGGGCAGCCTAGGAGGGAGGGGCACGGTAGCAGGGGAAGGGGTAGGATGGTTACTGGGGGGGAGAGAGTAACTCTTTCCACGGGTATGGGGCGGGGAAATTTCTGGGCATGGTAGCTCTAGGAGAGTATCCTGAGATATAGGCAAAGGACCTCCCTCCTTATTGGAAGTGGGCGCAGAGGCAGCATCCACCTCCGGGTCCGGGGGGGTCTGGAGGGTCTGGGGTGGAGGTAATAGCCAGATCTACACTAGATTGCTCCTGGCAGTCTTTGTTGTGGGCCGAGATGACTTCCTCAGGAGAGGAGGATTTAAGGCTAGCAATAATGGCTAGGAGGATTGGTATGAACAAGGCGGGGGGAGTGATCCCTGACCCGACCTCCCTTTTTCGGGCCAGGAAGAGGACCCACATCCACGTGTCAGGGTCCCACATGTTTTCAGGGGAGACCCACGGAGCCAAATTAGTGGCTTCATCCCCAAAGTGTTTGATATCTTTTGGTTTCACTTTCAACCCTCTGGTTTTAAGGAGCACCTTGAGTGCTGCCGTTTGTGGTTCCCTGCATTGTG